GGAATTACGCTCCCTGACTTCAAGCTTTACTACAAAGCCACACTAATCAAAACAATTTGGTAGGGGCACAAGAACAGACCAATAGATCAGTGGAACAGAGAGCCCAGATATAAACCCAAGCATATATGGTCAATTAATATATGATAAAGGAGCCATGGACATGCAATGGGGAAGTGACAGCCTCTTCAACAGCTGGTGTTGGCAAAACTGAACAGCTACATGCAAGAGAATGAAACTGGATTATTGTTTAACTCCACACACAAAAGTAAACTTGAAATGGATCAAAGACCTGAATGTAAGTCATGAAACCATAAAATTCTAAGAAGACAACATAAGCAAAAATATCTTGAATATAAACATGAGCCACTTTTTCCTGAACGCATCTCCTTAGGCAAGGGAAACAAAATAAAAAATTAACAAGTGGGACTACATCAAACTAAAAAGTTTCTGTACAGGAAAGGACACCATCAGCAGACTGAAAAGGCACCAGAGTATGGGAGAATATATTAATAAATGATTCATTTGGTAAGGGGTTAACATGCAAAATATATAAAGAACTTACACACCTCAACACCTCTCCCCAAAAAAACCTGATTAAAAAATGGGTGGAGGATCTGAGCAGACAATTATCCAAAGAAGATATACAAATGGCCAACAGGCATGTGAAAAGATCCTCCACATTGCTAATGATCAGGAAAATGCAAATTAAAACCACAGTGAGATATCACCTCACACCAGTAAGGATGGCCAGCATCGAAAAGACTAAGAACAACAAATGTTGGCGAGGATGTTGAGAAAGGGGAACCCTCCTACACTGCTGGGGGGAATGTAAGCAAGTTCAACCATTGTGGAAAGCAATATGGAGGTTCCTTAAGAAACTAAAAACAGAAATACCATGTGACCCAGTAATTCCACTCCTAGGAATTTACCTGAAGAAAACCAGATTCCTGATTCAAAAAGACAGATGCACCCCTATCTTTATCGCTGCACTATTTACAATAGCAAAGATATGGAAGCAACCTAAGTGTCCATCAGTAGACGAATGGATATAGAAGAGGTGGTACATACACACAGTGGAATACTACTCAGTATAAAGAGAAAAAAAATCCTACCATTTGCAACAACATGGATGGAGCTGGAGGGTATTATGCTCAGTGAAATAAGCCAGGTAGAGAAAAACAAGTATCAAATTATTTCACTCATTTGTGGAGTATAAAGACAAAGCACAACTGAAGGAACAAAATAGCAGCAGACACATAGACTCTGAGAAGGGACTAGTGGTTACCAAGGGGGAGGAGTTGGGGAGGACGGGTAGAGAGGGAGGGAGAAGGGGATAAGGGGCACTACAATTCACAATCACAATATCGGTAGGTCACAGGGAAGGCAGTACAGCAGAGAAGACAAGTAATGACTCTATCACATCTTATTAAACTGATATACAGTCACCGCAATAGAGCTGGTGAGGACTTGATAATATGGCTGAATATTGAAACCTCAATGTTGGTCATGTGAAACCTTTGTAAGATTGCATATCAATGATACTTAAATAATAATAAAAAAGTCTGCCTGCCATGCAGGAATTCTTGCTAACAGAACCTTACTTCTATTTAGATTTCAAGGAAATCTTGGAAGTTGGACTTCTGTTAGCCTGAGTTTAGAATTTTGATTATTATAAACCCAAAATAACTCCATTCTCTTGCTAATGAGTCATATAAAAATGAGTAAATTCTGGGCAGTAAAAGGGAGGGGATTCAATGGATGGGGATTCTGTAGTTTCCTCACATCAGAGAAGGTTGTGAGAAGAGAGATTTTCTTTTCTTGCCTCTAATCTGAGTCTGTGAGAGAAGGTGATGTTTGGAGCTTCTGCAGCCATTTTGTGACACAACATTTGAAAATGACAAAGTAGAAAAGATGAAAAAAGTCTGTGTCCTCAGTGACACGTCTTGTCATGTAAAGAATAAATTGTCCATATAATTTAAACCCACTTGCATTTGGGTTTTCTGATACTTGCAGCCCAAAGTCCACTACTCAAACTGAAACAGATGTTTGAAGTGAGGTTTTACTCCTCCCCACTCACAGCGCCACTACTCAGAGGCCAAGACTGAAGGGTAAGATTTGAAAAGGTATAGGAATTAAAGATGGACCATTTTGTTTCCGTATATATCTTTGTCCTCTGGAAGGCTCCTCATTGTACCCCTTGGCCACTGAAGCTTTCTCAGCTCATTTCCTCCTGGTACAATTTTGGGGCCTGGGAAATTTTTCTAGAAATCAATTAGTCCAAATAGTACATGCAGATCACATTGGGAAACATGGATTGTAGTGTTCTTTTAGTGTGACTGGACTGCTTAACCCCATGTTTGGGAAAGCAGAATTTGATGTGTGTATTTGTGACAGGATAGGGTTTTTATCCTATGTCTCTTCTGAGGGGAGGAGTGGCAAAATTGAACAGAGAATGAGTGTTGGCAACATGATGAACAAAAAGTTACACTGTCACATCCATTACAATGGTTAATACCAAAAAAAAAAAAACCTCACAGAAAATAACAAGTGTTGGCAGGGATGTGGGAGAAGTTGGAACCCTTGTGCACTGTGGGTGGGAATGTAAAATGGCCCAGCTGGTATGGAAAACAGTATGGTGGGTCCTTAAAAAATGAAACATAGAATCACAGTATGATCTAGCAATTCCACTTCTGGCTATATATCTAAAGAAATGAAAGAAGGATTTCCAAAAGATATTTGTACATCCTTGTTCACAGTAGCATTATTCACAATAGCCACAGATGGCAGCAACCCAATGCCCACTGAAAGATGATGGGGAAACTAAACATGGTCCATCCGTATGATGGAGTATTATTCAGCCTTAAAAAAGGAAATTCTGACACATGGAACAATGTTGGCGATCCTTAAGGACATTATGTTTAGTGAAATAAGCCATTCGCAAAAAGACAAATATGATTCTGTTTATATGAGTTATCTATAGTGGTCAGATTGGTAGAGATAGGATGTAGGATGGAGGTAACCAAGGGTTGGGGAGATGGGGGAATGGAGAATGAGGATTTAACAGCTATGAAGTTTCGGTTTTTTGGAGGTGCATGGTGGTGGTGATGGTTGCACAACAATGTGAATGTACTTAACACTACTGAATTGTTACCCTTGTGGGGACAAGCACTGGCTGATTGTAACATTTTGTCCTAGAATAGCCATGTGTCTACATGGTCCCCTCTTTCTGGCAGTATGCTAAGTATGTGGGTATGCTGAAATCCAGCTCTGACTTACCCATGGAAACATCTTACTGGGAGGCAGACCCCTCTGACCAAGGTTTTGTTTCTTGGGGTGCTAGTGGCACAAGAATGATTCCTCCTAGTGTAGCACATAGTTTTTGCCCCCTTACCCACAGCACATTCTTAGTCTTTGTCCCCTCGCCCCACATAAGCAGTTCCCTCCCTGTCCACAACAGCAGTGGGTGACCTCATCCAGCTGGCTGCTCCTGACTCCTTGTGCGTAAGTCTATAAACACTCACGCCTCAGGGGCTTTGCTTGTCTTTGGAGTGCTCTCCCATTGCAATTCGCCCTCTTGGGAGTGCGATCAGATCTGTGATCACACAATTCTTACAGTGGTTAAGATGGTAAATTTTATTGTATGTGTATTTTACCACAATTAAGATTAAAAGATAAAAAATTTAAAAGGTGGTGCTATGAGAGGCAGCAAATATTAGCAGGAGAAGGGTTTGTCTTGTAGATAGCTTGGCCCTGAACGGTCTGACGGCATATCCCTAGACAAGCAGGACCGGAAGGACTGGTGCCAGTATACTCAGTGTTTGTATAATATCCTTGCACCCCTCTACTCATAGGTAGCACCCATCTCCAAGGAATACAGCCTATTGAGTAATATTTTCCTGTATTCAGTTTAAAATAAAAGATCTGCCCTCAAGCCATAGGATGGTTTCTCATAGTTTGGTGACCTACAAACTAAAAATGAACATTTCCATCTACATGCAAAATACATGTTAACAGTACAGAAAACAAAAATACTTGAGTGGAAGCATGAAAAACAGAGAGGTCATTGAGTTGAGCAATTAAAATTTTTCGTTAGGCAGGAACTGTGGAGACCCCTACCCTTGTGGTGGGTAAGTTCTTTGTGCATATCCCCCCATGGTCCTTGGCTCTCTCCCCTGGGAGGCTCCTAGCTGTCCCGTCTCCCATTGCTAATTCTGAAGCGTTCTCATTTTATTTCCTAATAGCACAGATAATTTATTGGAGGAATTTTTCTAAAAAGAGGTGTAAAGGGACAGCAACAGACAAAGAATATGGGGCCAACGGAAGTGATTTTTTCTCCAAATGGGTGAAGCGAAAACCTTGGAATGATTCCACGATGGGGTGGAATCCTCAGAGGGAAATCCCTTAAGCCCACAAGGGATGGGAACCTATGTTAAAACGGCAGGATTTGGCTTGGACAAATCCATACCAGAACCATTCCCCCTTTGATGATCTTGGAAGATCTTGAAGAGATCATTTTACAGAGTAGAAACTTTCCAGAGCTGTAATGGGGCGAATTGCACCGACAGTGCACCGCAAAGGTATGGGAAGGGGCGGGCCCCTGGGGGAGGGGTCAACAGGGAGGCGGGCCTACAAGGAAGGAGGCGGGGCCCCGGGTGGGGCCCCATGTCTTCGCAGGTACACGGTGAGATGGGAGGCGGGGCCTGGCGCTGGAGCGAGGGGCGGGGCTAGTCTGGGACGAGTTCCCAATAGGGGGAGGGCTCGTAACTGTCCACATATCTCCAACCTGAAGGAGCGAATGGCCTGGAAAGCTGGTTGGGCTGGGGCGGCCCTGACTTTATGGGCCTGCAATGTGGGACCAAAGGAAGGCCGCAGAAGGCGGGCCCGGAAGGGTGTTGACCTATAGAAGACGCTGGGGGGTGCGGCCTCCCGTAAAGACGGGGGTGAAGGCGGCAGTGCGAGCCAATGAGAGGCGAGGGAAGGCGGGGCCTGTGCACGAGGGGGCTAGTAGAGACGGGGCTCTTACAGTAGGGGCCTGCGTCCCGGAGCGTGGATACGGCTCTGCGCACGCGCGTCGGGACGGCTGCAGCACACTGCTGATCCCGGCGGGTGCAAGCGGCGCCGTTTCAGGCTGCGGGCCCAGCCCCCGCAAGCCGCTCCCGCGGGTCACGTGATACGAAGGGCGCTGAATTCCTCTGGAGTCGGCGCCATTTCCTGTAGGTGACTGCTGAAGAGCCCCGGGGGTCGGAGGACCATCTTGACGCGATATGACCTCGACCTGCGGCCTTGGGCCGGCGGTCAGGCTCTGGCTCGTGCGCTCGCCGAGGGGTGGAGCCCGGCACGAGCAAAGGGCCCTGCACTCACACCTGGGGGCGTGGCCGCATCCCTCCTGGTGACGTAGCCGTGGGGTGTGCTCAAGGGACCCTGCTATGAAGGGAGGCGGGGCTTCCCACTGACGTACTGAGCAGCAGGAAAGTGGGAAAGTAACGATTTGAGGCGGTTGTGGCCGCATTGGCTTGTGGGAGCTTAGTTGGGTTGATGGTGGCAACATGACGGTCGGGTGAGTGTGTTTGCTGGCCCCCCACAGGGGCGTGGCCTGGTCCCGGGGGGCGTGGCCTAGTTCCCGAGGGGTGAGCCTAGGTGCGGAAGGGGCGTGGGCTCAAGGAACTTGGGCGGAGGGGTGTGGCCCCAGACTTGGTATAAAGGAGGCGCGCCTTCCGGGTAAGAGAGCGGTGTGCCTAGGTCCTGGCACCGACCTTTCTGGCACCGTCCTTTCTCTTTCAGGTGCCATGGAGGCTCCCGCGGCTGCCGCCCCTGGCGGGAGCTTCTTCCCCTCCTTCCTGCTCCTGGCCTTAGGGACGCTGGCGGCCACCCTGTTGGGCGCCGCGCACCGCCTGGGGCTCATCTATCAGCTGCGGCACAAGGTGCGAGGCCCAGACGGCAGGCAGGCTGGGGGAAGCCAAGGAAGAAACGATCTGCCAGCGTTCCTTCTAGCTCGCCCATTTGGCAGGCGGGAAAACCGCGGCCCGACTAATCCAGAGGGCTTGGTCCGGAGATTTCTGGCCAGGGCCCTAGATCCATTGCCACGCTGACGCTGCATACAAGGGACCCTGGACTTTGCTACCGATTAGAGATCATAGGGAAGTTACTCCTCCCCGGCGGGCACTCAACGGCCTGCCCACCTCCTCCAGGTTACCTGTGTCCTTCTCACAGAGCAGTGCTACCCAAACACGGTGGTGGTGGGGTCAGAGTGCACCGAAGGCAGGCACTAAGGGGCTGCCTGTTCTCCTAGTCTAGAGCAGTCTTGATCCTCCCCAGACCTTCTCCTAAACCGGATCAATGTCACTAGCCATGGGGACTTGAAGGCAAAGGCTTCAGCATGATCTGTGCCAGCAGGCTGCTTCTGTGCCAGGCACTTGATGGCTGGCAGCGTGTCAGCTGGACCTGGCCCACCAGTGGGAGGGCGTCTGGATGGCTGGAGTCAGCAGTCATGCTACCCCCTGGAGGGCAGGCAGTTCTGAGTCCCAGCAGATGACCCCCGGCCAAACTCGGTGTTCTCTGGGTCTGCCTTCCCTTTCCTCTCTGCCTGGCTGCCCCACCATCCTCGAGGTGGACAGTGTATGGAATGGGCACTTCACAGTGTCGGTTCTGTGAGACTTTGAACTTTGCTTGAGCAAGTGCTGGTCCCCTTAGCTATAAAAGTATATGATGAGAGACCGTTAAGGTTGTGTGTCCTGTTGTGGGTCTGGTGTATAATATCATGTGTGTCTAACTGACAACAAGTTTCCCTGACCTATGACCCTGCTCCTGCCCCCCTTCCTAGGGGAGTGGGATTGCCCTTTCCCCACCTGCTGGCCCCCTTGCCTTGGGCCTTGATGGCTTTGCTCTTCCCTGCCCTTGTTCCCAGGTGGACAAGGCAAGCATCCAGCATGGTGGGGAGAACGTGGCAGCTGTGCTGAGGGCCCACGATGTGCGGTTCCTCTTCACCCTGGTTGGTGGGCACATATCCCCATTGCTGGTGGCCTGCGAGAAGCTGGGTATCCGTGTCGTGGACACACGCCATGAAGTCACAGCCGTCTTTGCCGCTGATGCAGTGGCCCGCCTGTCCGGTGAGGGCAGGGAGGAGAGGGCTGTGGGCTGGTGAGGCCCGTATGGGGGGGTCTTTAAGGGGCAGGGTTTTTCCAGAGGTGACCAGGAGAAAGGGTATGACTGTGACAGGGTCTGTGTTCCAGGGACGGTGGGTGTGGCGGCAGTCACGGCAGGCCCCGGCCTCACCAACACGGTGACTGCAGTGAAGAACGCCCAGATAGCTCAGTCCCCAGTCCTGCTTCTGGGTGGGGCCGCCAGCACCCTGCTGCAGGTGCCCTGCCTTTGGGGAGGGGTGGGGGCCCCAGGGAGGCTGGATGGACTCATGTGTTGACTCCCTGGACTCCTGTCCCCACCAGAACCGGGGTGCACTCCAAGACATTGATCACATGTCCCTGTTCCGTCCACTCTGCAAGTTCTGTGCTTCAGTGCGGAGGGTGCGGGACATTGTGCCCACCCTGAGGGCTGCAATAGCTGCTGCCCAGTCAGGCACTCCAGGTAGGTAGGTAGGTGGGGGTGGGTGGGTGCTGGGCAGTGTCAGGCTCTAAAGGCTTGGGGCCTGTGGTGGCATGGCAGGCTCAGCAATGCCCCTGTCCTGCAGGCCCGGTGTTTGTGGAGCTGCCCATTGACGTGCTGTACCCCTACTTCATGGTCCAGAAGGAGATGGTGCCAGCCAAGCCACCCAAGGGCCTTATGGGTCATGTGGTTGCCTGGTGAGTAGCTCCATACCCACCATGCCCTCCCCAGACCCCTGCCCTCTTCTGCAACTTCCTGCCAGCACCCTTCCCTCTTTTCACTTGTTCGATTTGCACATGAGTTGAGAGGGAACAGCCATAGGAAGAGCATTCCAGGTAGCGTGAAGAGCACATGCAAAGGTCTGGAGGCAGGAATGAGCTTGATGGGTTGGGAAGGCGAGGTGGCCCACCGGGCAGCAGTAGGTGAGCAAAGGGGAGGGGGCAAGGCCTGAACGCTGAGTAGCCAGCAGGGGGCTCTCAGGAGGATCTGGGGGTTTGTTTTTGATTTGAGATCCATTGAGAAGCCTTGTAGGGCCTTAAGTAGAGGCTGGGATACTCTGATTCAGGTTTATATTATGGTCCCGTCAGCTGCTGCTGGGGAAGGGACCGTGGAGTTGGTTGGAAGCTGGGAAGCCAGGGAGGAGGTATGGTCACCAGGATGAGAGGTGATAGTAGCCTGGATCTGGGTTTGGCTGTGGGATGCAGGCTCATGGATGCATCACGTATGCGTGCCTGTACCTCCATTATGTCAGGATCGGAGGTACTGGGTCCCTGCAGGCCCCTAACATGGGCACAGCCCCCTCTGGGGCCACTGTGGGACTTGGAGTGGTGAGTGACCAGATTCTTGGGAGAGAACAGAACAGTGGGTCTGGCCTGGGATAAGCGTGAAGGTTTTCCTGGAAGAGCTGTATGTTGGAGGAATCTTCTTTCAGTTTTAGGTAAGGGCAGAACCCCAGCCGAGGGATGCAGAAAGGATCTGTTTTGGGTTATCACTGAGGCTGGGCCTGGCTGAATGGCGCTGAGTGGCAGGGGGTGGGAGGAATTGATTCTCTTCCCCTTTTCTTCCATCCCCTCTTCCTGCAAAGTATTTAGTGACTGTCACTATGGGCCAGGACCCAGGATGGGCATGGACAAGACAGGTCCCTATGCCCTGGGCTCGTGAGAAGCACCTTGAGGGCCAGCTCAAGGAGCAGTGGCTTTGCCCCCATAGTAAAACCATGGGAGTAGCGCTTTTATAGCAACCCTTGGTGTTAAGATGCTCAGGTATTAATATGCCTGTATTCTAGGTGAGGTTACTGACTTGCGTGAAATCATCCACTAGGATTCATCATGGAGGGGCCTACATTGCTTTACCCACAGAGCGACCTGCCATCTATAATGAATGAAATAAAAGTCCAACAAGATGGGTCTAAATCTGAGGACCACTGCCAACTTGCTATGTTAACCTTGAGCAAACCATTAGACCTTTCTTTTTTTACCTCCCGTTTTATTGAGATGTAGCTGACATACGGGACTGTACATGTTTAAGGTGTAAACCTACTGATTTGACTTACATACATTATGATTGAACCTTTCTTGATTTCAGTTTCCTCATCTGCTAGATGGATGCAGAATGCTGAGTGTAAAGGAATTAACCATTATTATCTTAAATAACAGTAAGGCTGAGTCCAGTGTCATGTCAGGTGTAAGGCAAGCTGTCTCTGATCCTTTCTTCTACATGGTTAGGGAACCAGAAACAGAAAAGGGGGATTCAGGGGTTTTGAACACATAGGAGGTGACTGGTGCCCATGTTAGGTGGGCTGAGTTTTTGAGTGCTTTTTTTCTGTGGCTGTGATAGCCTCTTGTTCCGTGGCCTCCCAGGACCCCCTGCCCACATTCTCCTTGGACTCCGTTGGCTCCTCCTTGGCCTCCTGCAAGACTGGCTCTTCACTGGACTTTCCTTTCCATGTTGCGGTTCCTTCTGTGGCCTCTTCTCATTCTCTGCAATCTTGACTCTTTTAAACAGAAACAGAAACTGCTGGCTCCAGCTACTTCCTGCCAACATCCATGCGTCTGTTTTTGGCTGGACTGGGTGTTCTTTGAGGGCAGGGCTGAATGCAACTTGTCTTGTGTCTCCAGGGCCTTGCACAGGGCTGAGACCAGTAAGTAAGGAGACAGAAGAGAGATGTTGGAAGCTAGAGCAGGAGCCAGAGGACTGACGATGTTAAGCATGGATCGAGCATTTTGCAAAATACTCTGTATCCTTAATGGATAGATCAATGAACCTTGGGAGGAAGGCGTCCTTTTACAGTTTCTAGAGAAGGATGCTCAAAAAGTTTAAGTTACTTGCCCAAAGTCACATAGCTTGGAAGCAGCAGAGCCGCATCTGTCTCACCCTGCAGCGACGGCCCTGTTCCTGCCACTCCACACCTGTACCACTTGTTTCCATGGGTCTTTGTCAGGTTGGGATGGTTACCAGAAGCTTCTGAGGGGAAACAAGTTGCCAGAGCCTTGGCCACTGGGGCTTGCCTGGCCCGTGGCCGCTTCTGTGCCTGATGCTTCCCTCTGGGCTCCTCTCCTTCAGTTCCTGGAGCCCCAGAAATTATTCCTGGTAACTGCCCACCCTTTCTTTTTCCTTTGCAGGTATTTAGAGAATCACCTGGCCAACCTCTTTGCAGGAGCCTGGGAGCCTCAGCCCAAGGGCCCCCTGCCTCTGGACATCCCCACGGCATCCCTACAGCAGGTGGATCCCCTCTCTTCTTCAGCAAGGACCCCCACCTGGCAGGACAGCCCCTCTTTAAGTCGGTACTGGGGCCTTGATCTCGGGGGCTGATGGCAACCTGCGTCTCATTCAGGTGCAGCGCTGTGTTGAGATACTGAGCCGGGCCAAAAGGCCCCTTATTCTGCTGGGGAGCCAGGCCCTGCTGCCCCCAACACCCTCCGAAAAGCTTCGGTGAGAAGCCTTAGCCCCGGCCTTACTGTCATGTTTTCCCGGCCACTCGGTGCCTGTGGGGCAGAGGCAGGTCCCTGGCCGTGCTCACCTGTTCTGCCTGGACCCCCAGGGCTGCCGTGGAGACCCTGGGCATCCCCTGCTTCCTCGGGGGGATGGCGCGGGGGCTACTGGGCCGCAGCCACCCCCTCCACATCCGGCAGAACCGTGGTGCTGCCCTGAAGAAGGCCGACGTCGTGGTCCTGGCAGGTGGGTCTCAGCCTCCCCGCCCCTCCTCCCTCTCCCCCATTCAGGCCCCTCCTCACCCGGTGATCCGGCCCCTCCCAGTCAGGTACGCGCTGGCCTCACCCTGGTGCCTTCAGAGGGTTTTGAACGACCCTGAACCTGAAATTCAGGCAGACTCGCCAGGTTGCCGCCGTGGGCTATGGCCCAGCTTTGTGCTCTCTGCCCCTTGTGCACAGAGAACGGCACGTGCAGTGCTTCACGTCCAGCGTCTGCATTTGTGTGCTTTACGCAGCATTTGTGCAGCGTATCCATACGTGGCATGCCTGTCTTCACCGAAAGGGCTTTCAACCCTGCCAGACACATAGTAGGTGTGTCCGTTCCCTACTGCTGTGTACTAACTGTCCTTAAACTTAGGCTTAAAATGCCCTATGATCTCTCAAGGCCCACCTACGGGTGAGGGGTAGTTTTTCTGGTCTGGGCACGGCTCTTTCACGAGGCTGTTGTTGGGGAGGCAGGAAGGCAGCTGTGCCAGCGGTTGGCTGGTTCTAGGCTGAGCCAGCACGGCCTTGGCTTGGGTAATGTTCTCTCCTTCCTCTCTTATCTCTGCCTCCATGGTCTCCACCCAGCAGGCCAGCCTGGGCTTGTTCACTCAGTAGCGATGAGAAACATGCAGGGCTGGGGGAACAGGGTCATCTAAGAGAGGGTGGAAGCGTGGTGTCAGGTGGACGCTTGCTGAAGCTTGGTGTCAGGAGTGCCCCCATCACTTCTGCCTGAGGCCAGCCCCAGTTTGCGGGATGGGAGCTGCAGAGTCATCGCTGGTGACAGTGGTAGAGGGAGAGGTGAAGAGTGGGGACGTTTTTTTATTCAATCCGCCACGGTGGGTTAAGTAAGGTAGAGGGGCACCCTCCCAACGACACTGGCCTTCCATCACCCGAGACCCTGTCCCCCACCCCAGGAACTGTGTGTGACTTCCGCCTGTCCTATGGCCGTGTCCTCAGTCGCAGCAGCAAGATCATCATTATCAACCGTAACCGGAAAGAGATGCTGGTCAATTCAGACATGTTCTGGAAGCCCCAGGAGGCTGTGCAGGGTGAGCCTCCACTGTGCCCTCTACGCCCCGTTGACATGCTTGTCCGGGTCCCCATCCTCCTGGCCTCTGCCGCAGCTGCTTGAGCTGGGTGTTTGGTGATCCAGGCCCAGACCGTGCCCAGGGGACCCCCAGTCAGCCAGAGACATATATTTGGCTCTCAGACTGATGGGTGCTTCTGGATGAATAACCGGTAGGGTGTGGAAAGGCAAGGCCTGGGGATGTGCCTCTGATCATGTCCCCTGGCGGCAAACCCTCCCACGGCACCTGCAGCCTGCAGGATGGAGCTCACTCCTTGGCCCTGAGGACTGTCATCCGGTCAGAGTCCCCCCACCCCTGTCAGTCCCCCTCCCACAGCCTTGCGGTGCTCTGCTCTGCCAGTCGTTCCAAGGACACTGAGTCTGTGTGGCATCGTAGGTGACAGGAGACTTTTCTGTCAAGCGGAGAAGTGGCACCATTGCATTCATGTGTGGGAAGGCCGCAGGTTGGAGGGAGCCGGGCCGAGGCAGGGGGTCTGTTAGTCAGGGCCAGGGTGGAGTTGACAAGGCCTGGAGTGGGGAGGGCCAGGGACGAGAAACTCAGCTTCCCGGAGCCTCCGTGTGATCATTTCTAAAATGAAGAGGATGAAAAGCACATTGTCACCGGCTCATTGATTTGTCCACAGGCACTTCGTTTGCCTGGGTTATGGAGAAGTGCTTGGTAGATGGAGGTATTTTAGTGACATGTTTCAGAGGTAGAATGGACAGCCCTGTATGACCTGGGACGTGAGGGGCAGACAGTGAGAAGGCCCGCTTGCATTAATAACCACTCTGCTCCCCGAGCTTTGTTGGTCTGGCCCTGCCCTCCCTCTCGTCCTGCCTGGTTCCAGCAGGCTCTGGGTTTTGTCCTGCCTCCATGCCTCCTCAGATGCTGCTGTTGGCTTCCTGCTGTCTTTGAGTCTCTGGTGCTGAAGGGCAGGAGGAGGCCACCTCACCACAGCTGTGCTCCCTTCCTTCCCCAGGAGACGTGGGCTCCTTCGTGGTGAAGCTGGTGGAGGGCCTTAAGGGCCAGACGTGGGCCTCAGACTGGCTAGAGGAGCTTCGGCAAGCTGACCGGCAGAAGGAGCAGGCCTTCCGGTGGGGGCTGGGTGGAGGGGACATGGGACGTGGGTTCTCGGCAGGCTCTGCTGCTTGCCCTGCTGATGTGCAGTGCTCCGTCTCAGGGAGAAGGCGCTGATGCCTGTAGCCCAGCACTTGAACCCGGTGTGGGTATTGCAGCAGGTGGAGGAAACTCTGCCTGAAAACTCAATTCTGGTGGTCGACGGTGGGGACTTTGTGGGCACTGCTGCCCACCTGGTGCAGCCCCGCGGCCCCCTGCGCTGGCTTGATCCTGGTAAGGAAGGGTCTGTGTCTGGGGCAGCATGCACTGCCTGGGCCCCTTCACAGCTACCTGCTCTTGGTTCTCCTAGGGGCCTTTGGGACTTTGGGGGTTGGTGCAGGATTTGCACTGGGGGCCAAACTGTGCCGGCCAGATGCTGAGGTGAGTCAGGGTGCTGGAGGCAGGAGGCTTGGTGCTTTCCGGTCCGTGAGTCAAACCAATGAACATCGGTACCCCCCCAGGTCTGGTGTCTATTTGGGGATGGAGCCTTTGGCTACAGTCTCATCGAATTTGACACCTTCGTCAGACACAAGGTGACCACGCTGCCCCAGTCAGAACATGGGGTTCTGGGAGATATCGCATGGGGTGGGCTGGGGAGGGAGCTGCTTATGTCCTGCGTAAGTCCTGTCCCTATGTGTCCTTTGGCTGGCTAAGCCTGGAAACTGCAGGCCGTGGCTCAGCCTCATCTTCCCTCTGCAGATCCCTGTGATAGCCTTGATAGGGAATGATGCTGGCTGGACCCAGATTTCTCGGGAGCAGGTGCCCTATCTGGGCAGCAATGTGGCCTGTGGCCTGGCTTTCACTGGTGAGGAGTCTGGCAGGGTGGGGGTGGGGGAAGCTCTTTCAGGCCAGGCTGGGCATGTGTTCTCTCGGGCTGGCTGCTCGTGGGCTGGGTCCCTTACCACCATCTGACTTGACCTTCTCTTGTAGATTATCACAAGGCGGCCATGGGACTGGGGGCCCAGGGCTTGCTGCTCTCACGGGATAATAAAGATCAGGTGGTCAAGGTGCTGGGTGATGCCCAGCAACAGTGTCGAGATGGACACCCGGTTGTGGTCAACATCCTCATTGGGAGGACTGACTTCCGGGACGGCTCCATTGCCATGTAGGGCCGTGTGGGTGGGTCAGTACTGTGGGCTCCCGTCCTGCTCCTGCCCTGGGCCTAGCTGGCTTGGGTCTCGATCCTGCTCTGCCTCGGGCCTATCCCATGAGGACAAGGGGGAGCTGGAGGAGACAGAGCTCAGAGAGGCTCCCTGGCCGCCTGGGGGCGCCCTTGGGCCTCTCTCTCTCTGTGGACTGAGCTGTGCTTTCTTCCCACCTTCCCTGTGCACTGAATAAACCACCTCTGGTCCACATGGGCCCAAGTACTTATCCCGGAATCTGTGCATATTGATTTATTGTCCCAAAGATGGAAGTGAATAAAAGGGGGAGACAGGAGGGGACCCTACTCTCACACGGGAACTCTGGGGCCTGTGGGGCACCAGTACTGGGGATTTCTGGGTTTCTGGGCACTGTGGACACTTCCCCCCTCTGTGGTCCCTCAAAGAGCCCCACATGCCCACTCCAGACGTGTTCATGCACACTAGTCCTCACACACGGACACTCACGCATGGAGGCAATAAATATGTTCCGTACCAAAGTGCCCCCAGCCTGACACTTCAGGTGGGGCCCCTCCTAAAGGGAGGTCATATAAGTGCTGTTTCTTCGTGGGTGGGGAGGAACAATTGGGAAGGGCAAGGGTCAGACTCTGCAATCTCCATTTGCGGGCTTGGGCCGATCACGGGGTTTTCCCTGGAAAAGAGGGTGGGGGAAACTAGCAGTTTTTCTGTTAAGTCCCAGGCTGCTCCTATCCATTGGTGCACAGGATAGGGGCTTCCTCCCACCGCACCCCAAGCAGCATCCCTTAATAGGCCTCGAGAGAGAAGCAGAGTGCAGTGCTCAAAGCTAATACTGATTTGGTTGGCAGCAGCAAGAGGACTGACTCGGGGTGTCTCACCATCCCAGGGTGATGCTCACAGTAACTGGCGGTTCCCTCGCTAAAGGGAGGCAAGAGAGGCCAGCCCAGCAAGCGGGAGAACTGGCCTTTGGCAGAAAAGGGAGACGTCCTTGCCACTCAGGAAGGATGGCCACGATAGCTGGCCGCAAAAATCGCTTCCTCTGCCTTTGCAACCAGTGCCCAAATACTGAGCGCTGGAAACAAGGCCCGATTCGCAGCAACAGGCCGCTGGTCGCTAGGCAACTCCTTAGCAACCAGGAGCGAGGCCTGAGCGACAGGTCAGCGCATTGCCTTAGCAACCAGGAGCCCGGTCCTTAGTAACCGAGATCCTGCCCCGCCAGGCTCAGAGACACACGTTGATCTGCTTGGAGAGCTCCCTCTCCAGGTCCAGAATGAGGGCGTCAAAGTCTTTGAGGTTCAGGTGCGGATTGAAGGGTGCCTCGAAGTCGTCTTCGAAATCTGCAGCTCCCGCGGACTCGGCCGCCTCCTCGTCCTCGTCTTCGCTGTAGCTGCCTGTCACGTGGTCATAGTCCGGCCCAGAAAGGAAGTCCCGGCCACAGGACAGGAAGTCCCGGCCACAAACGCTCCAGTCACCGGCATAGCGGTTGCTCGGGGGGCTCTCGGGACCGCCCCGGCCGCGGGGCCGAGTCACCACTTCGGGCCCCGCTAGCGGCAAGTGCAGCGGCGGCTGTTGTTTGGGCCGTAGGTACGGGGCGACTTCTGGAGTCTCCGGAGACCTGCGGGGATCTGCAGAGGGAGGAGGGCTTGTGGTGACGTCACGCACAGCCCCGGCAGCAAGATCTCTGAGTGGCTGTTTGAGGTAAACAGGCCCCGATTGGCCTGTCGAAGGGCCAAGGCCTTCGAACGGATCAGGATTTTTCTGGCTGAGCTAAACTGGTTGCTTAGGCAATCGGCCCTCTGATTGACATATTAAGAGGCGGGGCCTCTGGCCAAAGCAAGCGTGGATTGGCTGAATCTGGTTTCCGAGGCAACCAGGTACGCTTATTCTGCTGGGGGCGTAGCTTGCCTGAAGTCCGAGACTCTGATTGGCTTCCCAAGAAAGCATCGCGACGGCGGCCTGGCCAGTATTGGCTACGTGGGCTGGGGGCGCGCTCACCTGGCCAAGCCTGCAGTAAGTAGTGCAGCACCTCGATGTGGCGCTTAAAGTCGACAGCATTGGCGACTCCTGAGCCAGAGCTGCGGGTGCGGGGCCTTGCGGACGCCTGGCGAGCCGGCAGCAGCACGGGACCGAAGCACACGGCCAGGTTCTGCGGGGTCATGCGGTTGTGGACGTGGAAGGAGGAGACAAGGCGCAGGTGGTCCAGGAGAAGCGTCAGCGTGGCCTGAGAGAAGGTGGGCAAAGCCGGTCCCCTTAACACTTGAGCGGAGACTCAGACGGCCCCACACTGGTGAAACTGAGGTTCAAGATCTCACAGTTGGAAAATAGTATCAGACTCAGAGACTCCAAGATGGAACTAGTGGTTACCAAAGGGGAGGGGTGTGGGAAGGAGGGTGGGGCGGGGGGAGAAGGCGATTGAGGGGTATTATGTTTAGTACACATGGTGTGGGGGATCACGGGGAAAACAGCGTAGCACAGAGAAGGCAAATAGTGAATCTGTGGCATCTTACTGCACTCATGGACAGTGACTACATTGAGGTATGGGTGGGGACTTGATAATATGGGTAAATGTAATAACCACATTGTTTTTTCATGTGAAACCTTCATAAGAGTATATATCAATAATACCTTAATAAAAAATAAAAAATAAAAAATATCTCATAGTTGGGAGATGGCCTGGCCAAGATTTAATCATCAGGTACTAGTGTTATGATTCCATTTTCCTGGAGGGGAGACTGGGGACAAAGGTAGCAGCTTTGGAATGGCAGAGCTTGGGCTTGAACCCATCCTATGTGTGTTAGGGCTGGCATTAATCCCATTTTACAGATGAGGGATTGAGGCCCAGAGGAGGTCGGGACTTCTCCAGGATCCCACAGTCAGGAACCTCCCCTGTGGTAGGTTGACGGACCTGTGTTCAGAGTCTGCATTTTTGATACATCCTGGCTGTGCAACCATGGACAACTCAACTCAGCTGCTCTGGGCCTCAGTTTCCATAGCTATGAAGCGGGGACACTATTGGCATCTACCTCCTGGAAGCATTGTGATAGTACTACAAGCTCATGCCCATTATGAGCCCAGGTGTGGATGAAGTGCCCTACTGGTGTCAGCCCGCTCTGAGTCCTACCCATTCCAACTCACCCTCTCCACATCGGGCAGGCAGCTGAGGAGCCCACGGGTGCCCTCGGTGCTGTGGGGAGCCCTGCTTGAGGGCCCTTGGGCCATGGCCTCCAGCACCACCTGGTAGAGGGGCTGGGTGATGAGTGGGGTGGGCAGCTCCCGAAGGTAATCCTTGAGGATGCCTGCAGACACAGGGCACTCTGGTCAGGGCACCCCTGGCTTCTAGGGCTGGCAGGGCCAACTGGGGTTGGGAGGGGCAACAAGGAGGACAGGTGTGGGAAGGTGAGCAAAAGGCCAGACAGAACGGGGGAGGTCCCAGAAGGACCACAGGGATTCTCTTGAGGTACCGGTTCAATGAGCAGTGGGAAGAGGGCAGAAGGGCATGCTGACCAGTGATGACATTGATATCGGGGTACAGTTCCTCGGAGAGGCAGACCGCGGCACTGTCCCGCTCAAAGGCATCCCGAAGTTCTTTTTTCACAGCTGCTGAGCCGCACAGACGGTACAGTCCCACTACCTGGGAATTGGGAGCAGAGGGGGCATGTGTTCCTGCTGGGGCCACAGACTGATCAGGGTGGGAGCTGGAGGTCTGGGCCAGGGTGACAGTGGGCTGAGACTAGGGGCTGGCTGGCTTTGCTGGCTAAGCGCTTTCCTGCTCCTCTGACACCTGTCACGGGGTCCCCACCTGGCTTCCTGGATGACCTGACCTTGGAAACTCTACTCGTCCTGGCCCCCACTTCCTTTGACTCAGGAAACTGATTCCTCCTCGGCTTACTGCCACCTCCTCCGAGAAGCCTTCCTCAAAGACTGCAGTCAGCTGGTCAGGTCCTGCCTTAAGCTCTCCCAGTTTCCTCACTCTTGTCCTAGCCACACTGTTACACTTGCGAGTTATTGGAGTCATGTTTTTCCCCATCAGACTCGGCTCCAGAAGGGCTGGGACCCTGCGTTACTAAGTGGATGGATGACCCATGGGTTCTGAGATGGGTGCTGCAGTCCACGGAGTCTTCCCGTCCTTGTCTAGGCTGGGATTGGAGCTAGGAGGGCCCCAGGGGGGATGGGGTAGTGAGGGCAGGCATGTCCTCTGTATGCTGGGTGTCCAGAAGGAAGTCTAAGGTCTGAGGGCCTGCTTGGCAAGGGCCTCACCCGCAGCCCTCGGCGCTCAATCTGCTCAACACACTTCTGGATAATGAGGGGCACCTGGCCCGGGGGCTGTTCCCGCTCCACCAGCAGTGGCAGGGGCAGCCCGAAGACGTGGGGTTCAGCCGTGCCCGGTGCTTCCTGCTGCTCTGACAGGGTCAGCTTGGCATATAGCAAGCCCTGGGGCTCCAGGCGCACGGCCAGCTGCTGGGCCTGGCATCCTGGAGACACAAGGGGGTCTGAGTGGGGTCTGGGCCCCTATTCCAAGCCACACCCCCACCCTGGGCTGAGGACCATGAACACTATGGGGGCAGAGGTCAGCCCTGATTTGAATCCTGTGCCCTCCTGCTCCTCCCCTTGCAGTCAAGCATCCTACCTCGGAAGACTGTGGGCAGTAGAACGGTGCCCTGGGCACAGGGCCGGTGCCGCCGCACACCAGGGTCCCATGCCAGGACCAGGGCCCGCAGCAGCCGGGCAGCTTCAAGTTCCAGGTGGAAGGTGTGGTCCAGCTGCAGGAAGTCTGGACCTCCGCGCAGGGGCCCTGTTCGGGCCCGGGCCACCCCATCCACCTGCAGTAGGCAGCAGAGGTCTCTTGGGGTGGCCCCGGACGCCGGCCGCAGTCCCCCAAGTCCGTATAGGTGCAGGCTGAGGCGGCCCCAAAGTGCGGCTGGGGGTGCCCGGCCTGACGGGCCCACCTCATAGGGCTGGAAGGCGGTGGGTGATGGGGGTCCCCCTGGGCGCTCAGGTGAGTCACCGTCACTGAGGTAACCCGCCCGCAGGCCCCGGGCACCACCTGCCACTGCCGCCCGCCCGGGGGTCCCCACGCTGCTGTCTAAGTGGTAGCGGCTGATGACGGAGCCTGCAGGGGCCGCCCTTTCACGCTCTCGGCCGGCCCGGGGGCCCCGCAGGCTCAGGCGGCGCCGCAGCTCCGGTAGTTTCTTCATTTTCATGGAGAGGCGCCTGGCTGGGCCGGGGGACTTGGTGCGGGAGGCTTTGGGTGGGGGGCTGGCGGGGGCTGCACCTACAGGAACAGCAGACCCCATGTTTCAGAAACCTGGGCTTGGGATGGGGGCAGGGCTTGTGGTCATCTTGAGGGGCCTGGGTGTAAGGCGGGTGCTAGCTCACCTTGTGCACTGGGGCCCTCGGGATCAGCTGAGCCTGGCTGTGGCCCCGGGGACTCAGGCCCCAGGGGTCTGGGGTCTTCCTCAGGGATGGGGTTGTACCAGATCTCGCCAGCAGACTCCCCGCCGCCAGGTGCTCCGGGCCCCAGAGTGACGTCCTCTGGGGGCTTAGCCCCTCCCAGCACCCATCGGCGGCTGCTGGGCTCCAGACTCTGCAGGTAGGCCCCCCGAGCAGGGCTCCGAGATGCCTCAGGGCTGGGGGGCCCCTCCGCTGCAATCTGGGATGCTTCTGAGACCTGGGGCTCTGACTCCAGAGGGCTGGGCTCCGGGCATTGGGCTGGGCGGCCTGGCAGAGAGCATGGGGAGTGAGAACCAAACCCTGCCAACCCCAGGACAGCCCCAGCCCAGGGCTTCTCCCCTGGCAGGGGCTGGGGCTGGAGGGCTCTCAGCACCAGAACTTGCTCCACACGTTTGTTTGAGGTAGGCTCCAGCCTGCCAGCAGTTTCATCAGTTGCCAGGCTAGAGCCCACCCTTCTCAGGCATTGGTGTCCCAAGGGACTCTGGCCTTGCACCCTCTAGCCTCACGGTGGCTTTAGACAAATTGCTTCCCATCTCTGAGCCTCAGCATCCTGTGAAATGGGAGGATCCAGTGTCCCCCTGCAGGGCATGGGGAGAGCTTCTTCGAGCTGTGTCACGGCCAAGCACGTAGCCCCCAGTGGATGCAGGCTTCCTCACTGCTCTGCTCCCCAGACAGGAGCAGGAGCGACCTCCAGGTCGTGCTGTGGCACTGCCACCCCGACCCCGCCCTCCAGACAGCCCAGGCCTGACGTTCCTGCCAGTGCCTTGAGGCTCCCCCCTCGCTGTCCTCTCCAGTCTGACATCCGGGGCTGTTTCCTGTGTGTGTTTGTGTCCGGACACCCCTGTCCCTATTCTCTGGCCAGGGAATTTTGGGAATCTTTGTGAAGGGCTGGGGGTGGGGTGGGGGGCAGTCAGATCCACGGAGTCGGCTGCCATCCCTCCTTTAACTCCTTCCTCCCGGGACTTCTTGTCCCAGCAGCTCCCATTTCTTTAAGGTCTCATCCTGCCTGCCCAAGACTCCCTACTCTGGTCAACGCTGATTTCCCCCCTCCCCTCCTCCCCAGCACCCTGTCTCTGGGGTCTCTCTGTGTAGCAGAGTCCAAAGAACTGTTTAGGTTACTTCCCTAGCCTTGGGCAAATTACCCAACTGCTCGGTGCCTCAGTTTCCCCATCTGTATTAAAGGGACAGTTTCCTGGGGCTGCCTAAGACCAGTGCAGCTGGGGGCACTGGTTATTGGGTGGGAGGGGGCTTGGGGTGGCTTCTAGGATTGATGCACCGCCTCGCTGCCCCCTCTGCAGGAGAACGGCCCCCCTCCCCCCTGTCTCCCATCCCAGGGCTCAGGCTGTTCCCCGCCGGCGCGATTGGGCCCTGTTTCCCGACCACCCACCTCCTACCCACCTCCTCCCTCCCGGCGCTCTGTCTCGGCCCCACTTCCTCTCAGGGTGAGGCCCCCTCCTGGGCCTCCCGAGGAGCCCGCAGCGCTAGCTGCTCGGGCCAGGCGCACATAACGGTCCGCGCCCCCTCTACCCCCGCCCCTCCCTTCCAGGACCCCTGCCAGTCCCCAGCCGCCTTGCCGGACCTCCGGGGGCTCCGCGGGGCTCTTCTTGTCTTCCCCACCCGGGCCGCCCCTCCTTGGGGCCCTGGGACCCCCCTCCCAGGCCGCGCGGGGCTCGGCGCCCCTTCCTCCGCCTCCTCCGGGGCTCACCGCGCTCCTTGGCGTCCGACTTTTTCCGGGGAAGTTTCTCCCGGCCCCGAAGGCGGGAAAAGGTTTTCCTAAGCAGCGGCTCGGCCATGCTGGGGCCCGAGCCGGGCCGAGTGCGCGCCCCGGGCTCCGGCCGCGCCGCCCCGCGCCCGCCCCGCCCCTCCCGGGCCTCCCGGGCCTCCCCGCCCGCGCCCCGCTCCCCGCTCCAGCAGGAAGCGCATTCCGGGAATGCTTGGCCCAAACTTTTTTTTTTCTCCCCTTCCCGCGGCCTGAGCGAGCGATGCTGGGAGATGTAGTCGCCCCGGTGGGTATTTGGGGGAATGGGGTCTCAGCTTTGCACGTCGTGGCGCAGCCCCGGGTCCCCCTTGGCGATGGTGATGCAGCAAGTTCTCTGGAATTTAACCCCAAAACGCATCCTGCGTGTGTCCCCATCTCCATCTACTGCCCCAGCCTGGCTCAAGCCCTGGCATTACCGGTTTTCATGAGACCCCTTCTTCCTTAGTCTCCGGGAGGCCATCCCGTGCCTTCCCCTCCCTGATCCCCCAGTTGTCCAGCTCCAGTTACTGCTGCTGTGTAACTACTCCAAAACATAGTGGTGTAAAATAGCCATTTTATGATGCTCACAGATGCTGTGGCTCAGGAATTGGGCAGGGCAGACATTGATTGTCTCTACTATTCTGCTGGAGAGACTTTGGGGTTTAGGGGTGGCTCAGCTAATGGGGGGCCAGAATCATCTAGAGGCATGTTCACTCACAGGATTGGCAGCTGTAGGCTGGGGCACCCACATGGGCTTCCTCATGTGGCTTGGGCTTCCTCCAGAGCAGGTCACTAGTGGGGTGGTTTGGCTTCCTGCACAGTCACCCGGGGATCCAAAAGCAAACAAGGCAGAATCTGTGTAACGAACGTCCCCTGACCCAGCCTCAGGTGTCACACTGTGTCACTCTGGCACCATGTTCAAGGGGAAGGAACATAGACCTCATCTCTATCAGTGGGGGGGTGTCAAGGTGACCTTGAGCAAGGGGATGTGGGATGGGAAATATTGTGGTCATCCTGTAAAATTTAACCCACTTCATTCGTACTTTCCATTTTCAGAGTGGACTTACAGAGCTGAGATCAGATCACGGTGCACCCTTGCTGAATAGTCTTCCCATAACTGCTCACCCTGCCTAGAATAAAAGCCTGGTTCCCATGACTAAAATCCAGGCCCAATAAGGCTTCTGGCCTCATTGTCTTTGTTGCCCCCATTGCTCACTGTAACCTTCTCTCTGGCCCTCTTTCACGGCAAACTGTTTCTGTCCCAGGCCCTTTGCACATGCCTCTCCCTCCGCCTGGGAAGCCCTTGTTCTTCTGAAATTGCCTCTTTCTCATCCTGTAGTTCCAACAGCTCCTCCTTGGGAAGCCCTCCCTGAACGCACACCACTGTCCAGTCATTAGTACATCATTGTGCCTCATTTCTTTGAGCATTTGCCATAGCTTGAACATAATAGCTCTGGTGGCTTTTTAAATTTTCTTTCTAGTTTATCTGCCTCCTTGTCTAGGCTGGGACTCCCCCAGATGCTTGTGTCACTTGCTGATGAATGTTCAGGTAAGAGGTGAGATGCCAGGTGATGGAGGCCTGGATAGGAGGGGGTGGCCAAGAGGCCTGGACAGAGGAGGTTGTGTGTTTGCATATTGTGTGGCTTCAACTATTCTTTCTGTTCCTTTCTCTTTTCTCCATCTAGGACACCCATTATGAGTATGTTGGTATATTTAATAGTATCCCACAAGTCTGTTAGGCTCTGTTCAGTTTGGGAGGAGTCAGCCTGGAGATGGCTGGGGTGCATCCTATAAGATCCCTGCCCAGATGTCTTTGAGGTAACTGTTGACAGTGGAGAGGTCAGGGCCAAGACAGTCCCTCATAACACGTCCAAGGCTAGGTGTGCAGGGCTAGGGTCCCAGTGGTCCTTCAGAGCCTCAGAGAAGCTGGAGGCTCCTGTGGTGAGAACAGCCCTTGGCCCCACCCCTATCATATCAAATGATTAAAAACACTTGCCACGCCAACATAACTTTTTTGGCAAACCCTTTTGAGAGGGTTTTTGTACTTTTCCTGTTGCATTTATTTGACTACATGTAGCTTACTTAATTCACAGTTGGATATGCTTCTCAGAAATCAGCAATTCTTAACAAGTGAGAACAAATAATCTATAAACTACATAAGGAAATGGTTATGAATGCTAAGTTCTGTACTTTATGAAGTTTGTATAATTATTCATCTAGATTTTCATAGTTGCTGTTTGGATTTTTGGATCCTGCGTTTGTGTGTGTGTATGTATTTTCTTTCCCGCGAGTATCCTCATTGGCTGCAGGCCGGATTTGCTAGGCTTATGATGGGTAAATCAGCGTCCAGGTGGGGATCTGTTGAAAGAAGAAAGGCCAGCAGAGGGAGCTAGTCAGGTCTGAGCAGAGCTCTGCACCTCGGTGGCAGATGATGGGGGTTGGTGGGTAAGTACCCCAGCTCCCTCACTCTTTGTGTGGGATGTCTGGGGTGTGTGTTCCGCACTGGTCCCCACAGGATTGATCCAAGCTTCCCACAGCGGTAAACTTGCATATCAAATCACTTAACTAACTTCCTTCCCTTCCCTGTGTCCCCTCTGCACTCCAGCATTTCCCGGATCCCTTCCCAAATAAACTACTTGTAATTGAGTCTTCAAGTGTTCATTTCTGGGGGACCCCAAACACTGACATTCTTTCTAGGGCTGAGTTTCCTTATCCATTCAAATGGAAGAATAACGACTTCCCCTGTAACCAAGGGGGTGGGGGTGGGGAGTGAGGGGGTAGGGCATGTGTCTGTGGGCTACGTCCCCTGTCTGCCACCTCCCTCAGGTCACCGGCCAGGCAGCCAGCAGACCAGCATGTCTTGTCCAGTCTCCCAGTGGTCCTTGGAAAAGCCCAGCCAGGCAGCTGTGGAGCTGAAGCTGAGGAGTAGCAGGGCCCTCAGTTATCCTCAAAATGTCCTTTTATCAGCGACAGGCTTGCTAGGCTCTCCTGGTGGCCAGGTCCCCGCACAGGCCCCAGGACACACTCAGCAGCTGGCCCCCTGCGGCCATGCCGAGAACTGTCCTGGTGCGCGGCATATAGGACCTCGGGGTGCTCGTGTGGCCGCCAGGGCTTCATAGATGCTGGTTGTCCCAGGGTAACGGGAAGCAGCCTGGTGGGTGAGGGGCTGGTCAGGTGGGGCCAAGTGGCCTGGGGGAGCAGGGCCAGGCAGAGATGCTGTGCTGCTCCTTACCCCTTCCCTCCTCACTCTCAGATCTCTGGGCTCTCCTGCGCATTCCAAAGTAAGATCTGGCCCTTGACTGGCTCCTGGGAGGGAGCCCCTGAGCCCTTGCGGTATCCTACCTGCAGAGAATCTTCTTTGTATACCTGGGGGCAGGCTAGCAATGTGTTTCATAGTAGGGGCCTTGGGCCATCCTGTGTCAGTTTGACCTTTGGTGTAACCAAAGCCACCCACGTGGGCCTGCCACATCTGTGCGACCATTATGGACTGAGTTGTGTCCCGTCAGACTCGTGAGTTGAAGTCCTAACCCCCAGAACCTCAGAATGTGACATATTTGGAACAGGGACATTACACGTGTGATTAAATCAAAATGAGGCCTTCAGGGTGGATCCTAACCCAGCGTAACTGGTGTCTTCAAGAGAAGGGGAAATTTGGACACTGACATGTGTGCCCATAAGGAGGAGACCATGTGAAGACACAGAGAGGAAACAGCCATCTACACAGCAGGAAGCCAGCCCTGCTGACAGCCCTTCTCAGACTTGCAGCCTCCAGAACCGTGAGAAAATAAATTTCTGTTGTTTAAGCCGCCCTGTCTGTGGCATTTGTTACGGCAGCCGGAGGATATGAATACAGTGGCCACCCTCCGGGAAGGCCCTGGACACCAAGACTGACATGAGCTCCCCCGGTTGGAGGTCCGCCATGTGTGTTGTCACACATCATGGCTGGGAGAACTCGGGGCTGTCCACACAACCCCGCGGTTGGGGTGGGGGGCCGCCAGCAGCCTGTGCCTGCTCTCTCTTGGACCCCACCCCATGCACCTTTGACATTTGGTGATTTTAACCTGTATTCTTTCCCTGTAATAAGTGAATATAACAAGTGTGCTGAGGTCCGTGAGTCCTTCTAGGGAATCACTGACCCTGAGGGTGGTTTTGGGGTTTTGGGTTTTGGGGACCTCTGTGAACATGGGTTCACAGAGATAAGTCCCTGGCAAATGTACCCTCGGAATCAGGGGCTCCCCTTCTAAGACCTCTGGTTAAAGCCTTACTGAGTGCTCCCTGCGGCCTTGCCGGAACAGCTTTCTGGCCACACCCCCAGGTGACCCACCTTCTGCCGCCCAGAACCCCACCTTGGGTAGGTTAAACTGGTCCAAGCTGCAGTGTGACCTTGGGCAAGTCACCCACCTGGAAGGTCATCCAGCATCACGGTGGAGGGAGGGCCCAGGTTTGGGGCCCCCTTTGGCCCCAACCCAGCATGTTTACCTGGGGACAGTCATTTTCCCTCTCTGAGCCTCAGTGTCTGAGTCTTTAAGATTGCTTCGAATCACTCCATAAAATCCCATATAGAGAGAAAGAAGTGTTTTGTACCTTAATACTGACCAGGGTTGTCTTGTTCTTTCAGATCTAGGTAAGTTGGCGCAAACCCCTTCCAATGCTCTCACTAGGATTTTGGAGAATTTCTAGATGATTATTTTCTCACAGTCTCCTGTTATTACTGAATAAATAGTTCCACTGTGAGCTCACCCTTCCTGGTCTATAGGAGGAGGCTTTGGTTCCTTGCAGAAGTGGGGTTTGCACTGAAATCTCAAAGCTGTGGAGACATTAACTCTGGGAGGGAGTGGGGAGGAAAGAGCAACATATGCAAAGGTCCTGTGGCACCATCTTCATTACCCCTTTGTATTCTGATGCTGGGGGATGCAGCCCACTTCACGTCTCACCTGATGGTCCCTTTTGTTCCCCCTGATGCTTATCACTTCCATCCATCTATACTTGAGCTTTCACACTAGGACCTATGAGCCAGCTGTGGCTCTTGAGCTATGAAGAATGGTTCTTACATTTAAAAAACATATGAAAACAAGCCAAAAGACTGCACTTAGTGAATCAATTTCACACTACTTT